TGTCGCGTCCCCACGGACACACCGCGGGGCTCACCTTGGCCAGGGCCACGTAGGGGAACTTCTCCATCTCCAGCAAGCTCTCCTCGCCCTGCCCGTGCTGCAGTTGCCCCTTGAGGATGCGAGCGGCCGTGACCGTGGAGACTCCCATGCCTGGGGGACACCGTCAGCCTCCTGTGGCAGCCATGGCCGTGCCAACCCCAGCAGGGCAAACCCTCTTCAGCCCGGCACACACTTCACCACAAAGCCTGTTTATCCCAGTGCCCAGATTACAGCAAACCCAGTTTATCTCAGTGCCCAGTTTATCTCAGCACCCGGTTTATGGCCAGCCCAGTTTATCCCAGCACCCAGTTTACAGCAAACCCCGTTTATCCCAGCACCCAAATTATGGCAAACCCAGTTTATACCAGTGCCCAGTTTATGGCCAACCCAGTTTATCCCAGCACCCAGTTTATCCCAGCACCCAGATTATGGCCAACCCAGTTTATCCCAGCACTCAGTTTATCCCAGCACCCAGATTATGGCAAACCCAGTTTATCCCAGCACCCAGTTTACCACAAACCCAGTTTATCCCAGCACCCAGTTTACCACAAACCCAGTTTATCCCAGCACCCAGTTTACCACAAACCCAGTTTATCCCAGCACCCAGTTTACCACAAACCCAGTTTATCCCAGCACCCAGTTTACCACAAACCCAGTTTATCCCAGCACCCAGTTTACCACAAACCCAGTTTATCCCAGCACCCAGTTTACCACAAACCCAGTTTATCCCAGCACCCAGTTTACCACAAACCCAGTTTATCCCAGCACCCAGTTTACCACAAACCCAGTTTATCCCAGCACCCAGTTTACCACAAACCCAGTTTATCCCAGCACCCAGTTTACCACAAACCCAGTTTATCCCAGCACCCAGTTTACCACAAACCCAGTTTATCCCAGCACCCAGTTTACCACAAACCCAGTTTATCCCAGCACCCAGTTTACCACAAACCCAGTTTATCCCAGCACCCAGTTTACCACAAACCCAGTTTATCCCAGCACCCAGTTTACCACAAACCCAGTTTATCCCAGCACCCAGTTTACCACAAACCCAGTTTATCCCAGCACCCAGTTTACCACAAACCCAGTTTATCCCAGCACCCAGTTTACCACAAACCCAGTTTATCCCAGCACCCAGTTTACCACAAACCCAGTTTATCCCAGCACCCAGTTTACCACAAACCCAGTTTATCCCAGCACCCAGTTTACCACAAACCCAGTTTATCCCAGCACCCAGTTTACCACAAACCCAGTTTATCCCAGCACCCAGATTGTGGCAAACCCAGTTTATCCCAGCACCCACTTCACCCCAGCACCCAGTTTCACTGCAAACCCAAGTTATTGCAGCACCCAACTTATTGTAAAGTTCATCACAGCACCCAGCTTATTCCAGAATCCAGTTTATCCCAGCAACCAGTTTATTATAGCACCCAATCTCATTGCAAACCCAGTTTAAGACAGAACCCAATTTATTGCAGCACCCAACATTGTGTAAATCCAATTCATTCCAGTACCCGGTTTATCCCAGCATCCAACTTATGGCAAGCACAAGTTACCTTAGCACCCAATTTCTTGCAAATCCAGTTTAGCCCAGCACCCAGTTCATTGCAGGACCCAACTGATTGCAAACCCTGTTTATGCCAGCACCCAACTTAACACAAACCCAATTTATTGCAGCACCCAATTTAGTGTAAATCCAGTTCATCCCAGCACCCAGCTTATTGCAAACCAAATTTATTGCAGCACCCAATTGTTTTTGTTTTTTGCAAATCCAGTTCATCCCAGCACTGTTTATTCCAGAATCCAGTTTATCCCAGCACCCAATTTGTTGCAAACCCAATTTACCACAGCACCCACTTTTTTGCAAATCCAGTTCATTGCAGTACCCAGTTCATCCCAGCACCTACTTACTGCAAACCCAGTTTATCCCAGTACCCAACTCACCACAGCACCTACTTTATCCCAGAACACACTTTACCATGACACCCAATCTATCACACGCCTAGTTTACCCCAGCACCCTCTTTATTGCACCTACTTCATTGCAGTCCCATCCCCTGCAGCCCTGCTGCCCCCGGGGCGGTGCCCTCCCGTCTCACCGTCCCCCAGGAAGAGGATGAGGTTCTTGGCCACGTTCTGGTTGAGGCGCTGGAGCCGCAGAGCGTTCTGCAGGGTCTCCTGTGCCTGCCGCCGCCAGTACTCAGGGTCCTTCTCCCTCTCTGTGGGAGGAACGGGCTCCATAGCACCCAACGGCACCCACTTCTGGGGTGCTGCCCCCCCAAACCTCACCTACCAGGAACCAGCGATGCTGAGCAGACCTGGGCGAGGAGGAAGAGGAGGAGGAGAGCCTTCATCCTGCAGTGCTGAGTGGGTGCTGCACAGGAGAGAGCTGTGGGGCAGTGGCACCCACTCATGCCTCAGTTTCCCCACTGAGACCTTCGCCCCAGGGCTCAGCCAAGCGAGGACGGGAAGGAGACGTCCCCTCCTTGCGCGGTCACCAACGTGACCCCCTGGGGACATGCCAGCTTTCCCCCTCCCCCCTTGGCCACCAGTCCCACGGGGTGTCACCTCGCTGTCACCAACCCGGTGGGGTCCCCGTGGCACATCCCTGTCCTCACTGCATGGCCATGTCCCAGCATGGCTGGGTCCCCATTGCATGCCGTGGTCCCCACCACATGGCCATGTCCCCATCCCGTGCCTGCGCCCCATTGCATGGTCACGTACCCATCACACAGCTGTGTCCCACCACATGTGTGTGTCCATCCTATGTTTGTGTCCCCATCCCATGCCCATGTCCCCATCGTGTGCCTATGTACCCATCATGTGTTCCCATGCTCATGTCCCCGCTACATAACTGCATCCTGACTGCTGCTCACGTTCCCACACGTCCACATCCCAGTGTGTGCCCATGTCCCCCCTGCACACCCACACCCCATCACACCCTCGTGTCCATCCCCAGCCCACGTCCCAATCCCCCCTGCACACCCACACCCCATCACACCCCTGTGTCCATCCCCAGCCCACGTCCCCGTCCCCACTGCACACCTGTAACCTGCTACATGTCTGTCCCTGTGGCACACCCATGTCCCCACCACATGCCCATGTCCCACCACACAGCCATGTCCTGGCTGCCTGTCCGTGTCCCCATCCTGTGCTGGTGTCCCCACCACACGCCTGTGTGCCCGTTGCACACCCACGTCCCTGTCGCACACTGGTGTCCCCATCTCTAGTCTGTGTCCTCGTGTCACACCCGTGTCCCCATCGCCTGTCCGTGTCCCCGTGTCACACCCATGTCCCCACTGCCTGTCTGTGTCCCTGTGTCACACCCGTGTCCCCGTCGCCTGTCCGTGTCCCTGTTGCACACCCGTGACCCCATCTCTAGTCTGTGTCCCCGTGTCACACCCGTGTCCCCATCTCAAATCCGTGTCCCTGTTGCACACCCGTGTCCCCATCTCAAATCCATGTCCCCGTTGCACACCCGTGTCCCCATCGCCTGTCCG